ACACAACTGTAAAGACCTTCATCGTGCAATCTCGTTTCGTGTATTTTTAGTTGCGTATTTTCATGCATCAATTCGATATTTGCACTTGCTTTTATTGGTACACCATCCTGAAATGATCTTTTCTGGTGCAATCATAGGATTCATTTTGCAAAAAGTTTCGTTAAAAATCCTCACCACAGGTGATCTACAAATGAATGATAAGTGTGTGCATCATAAGAGAATATTTGTTGTGCTTTCATGAGTATCGACTGTTTTATTTAAATACGACTGATGACGATGTTGACTGTTAAGGACTCGTCGTGCAAATAACTCAGTTTCAGTCAATAATGAAAATTTTCGCATCGGATCGCTCGGAAAATTAAGCAATTCAGTTCTGACAACGAGTGACTAGATTCGTTGATATAAGTCCTCATTGAAACGATAACAAAGTTATCGAGATACTGAAGTTCATCCAATGCCATCACAAAAGTTCATTGCCTCTGCATCGATTCTAAATTATTTTCCTGCACTCATTCTAATAGAATATTCCAGGCAGTAAACAGTTTAATTGACCAAAACATGATATGGCATATAATGTGAACTCTTAAAAACAGATATGAACGAAATAAGGTATGATATAGAATTTAACCGAGCAGCAGCAAAAAATTAGAACCAGAAATTAGCGGTTTGAACGAAAAATGATCACTCAAACAGATGGAAACGACGATGAATACAGTTTGCATTCATAAATTTAATGTTGCACAGTTCAACGCCTTATTTACACATTACCTGCTGCAAGAGGTGAAGTTGCCTTTGAAAGACATTATGGTTTAAAATCTCTGATGTAAAAGCATATATCTACCTTGAACCAATAAATTCGTGGCACATGACCTTCGATCTCGCAGACTAATAAAGATGGATCGCCTTCGGTTGAGTTGATCGTTTTGAGTCCTTCTTTTGTGACGAATGGAGGGCCTGAAAGTCTGCTTCATCATGTTCCCGGACGCCCCCAATGCATTTGAATTCTCATGCAGAATCCGAGAACATTGCATCGAAATGGAAGTTATAGTAGTCATATTCCNTTATAGTAGTCATATTTCTTCATGGAAGTTGGGAAGCGAGGAATGATTTGTTAAGCGATCAAGAGAAATTGCTTTGAAAATATTGCTTTGAGAACGTGTTTTGTTCGCAGTATGATCAACGATCTAAAAGATGAGTGAATGACATTTGATCAACGTCGGATTTGAAAGACAGGGGATTCGAAAATGTATTCAAAGTGAATTGAAAAATAGAAACATAGACGAACACAGCAGCAATGTTGGTTATAAAAACTCAAGTGGTAATGCATTGGAATGATATCGACTAAAACGTTGATAATAAAACGACCATTGCTTATAATCAAACGACACAGAAACGAACTTATCAACTTGACCATGTACTCTTTTTCATCAGTACCAGCATCGTTTGTTGCGGTGCATTTGAAAGTGTGCACAGCTTTTTTTGCCACTTTTTCGATGAATAACGTTCCATCATCAGCTGAAATTCAATTACAACTTTATTGAATAAGCATTTTGCGTTCAATCTGAACGAATGATGTTCTCAAAATGTTTGACAAAAAATAAGCGACTAACGATAAGTATTCGACTGAAATTTGAATTACGCATCTGATAAGGATTTGAATAGGAGGAAAACATGATACTGTAGGAGAAGAATACTAGAAATGGATGGAAGACAAAATTAGCAACTTTTCTTGTGCATCAAGGAAAACAAGAAACCAACAAAGAATTCAAACTTGAAATGCAATAGAATAAATCGATAGGTGAATTGATGTCTTGCGTAATAAAAACGGTGAAGTTAAAGAATAATTGATTGAATGTAAAAAGGCAATATTCGGTAGAAATTAGAGGATGCGAATGTACAGAAGTTATGAATAATTTCAAAAAAATAAACCAATCGAGAATCGCCCTTTAAGTTCTTCCTCAACTG